GCCCTCCTCTTAATGGCTAAAATTCCACCATTAAAAACTTATTTCTGTTGAACATGGTAAAACATATCTATAATACTAGCACTTGGAAGGCTAAAGCAAAAGGACTGTGAGTTTATGGTCAGCATGAACTATATAGTGAGACCCTGCCTTAAAAACATGTTCCTTCTTATACTGTCGTCTTCCCATCAAGAATGACACCAATTGGCAATCTAAGCAATAGCAGAGAGGCTACCTTAAATGCCTTCTCAGATATTGAGATTGATGACTACCTTATATGCCATCCTAAAGCCTTCATACAGTGACTGATTGAAGCAGAGGCAGACACCCACAGCTAAACACTGAGCCAAACTCCTGGAACCCAGTGACAGAGAGGGAGGAGTGATGAAGAAAAGGGTCAAGACCGGGATGGTGAAACCCAGAGAAACAGCTGACCTAAACAAAGAGGAGCTCATGGACTCCAGACTGATGGTTGAGAGGCCAGCATGAGAGTGATCCAGCCCACTAAATTTGGGTGTCAGTGAGGAGGCCTCAGCAATCTATAGGGCCTCTGGTATTTATCCCTGACATACAAATGGACTTTGGGAATTCATTCCACATGAAGGGATGCTCCCTCAGCCTGGACACATGGCGCAGGGCCTAGGCCCTGCCACAGATAATATGACAGACTCTGGAGTTCCCCGATGGAGGGCCTCACCCTCCCTGGGGATCAGATTCGGGATGGGATGGTGGGTTAGGGGGTTGTTGGGGGTGAAGGAGGAGGGGAGGAAGAGGGGGCTGGGATTGACATGTGAAGCAAGCTTGTTTCTAAGTTAAATAAAAAAAGCATGGTCCTTAAATTGGAAGCCCAAGGGAGGGGGAGGAGGAGGGAGGTAGGAGAAGGAGGAGAGATGAAGAGGAGGGGAAAGGAGAACAAGAGGGATCTGGAAGATTGAGTTGGGGGATGAACAGAGGAGAGCAAGAAAAGAGACACATCAATAGAGGGAGCTATTATTTGTTTAAAGAGAAATCGGGCACTAGGGAAATGTCCAGAGATCCACAAGGATGAGTCCAATTAAGAATCTAAGCAGTAGTGGAGAGGCTACCTTAAATGTCCTTCCCCTATAATGAGATTGATGGCTACCTTAAATGCCATCCTAGAGCCTTTATCCAGTAACTGATGGAAGCAGAAACACAGATTCACAGCTAAGCACTGAGCCTAACTCCTGGAAGCCAGTTGTAGAGAAGGAGGAGTGATGAGCAAGGGGTCAAGACCAGGCTGGGGAACCCACAGAAACAGCCTAGCTGAGCAAGTGCGAGTTCATGGACCGCAGCCAGACAGCTGGAGAACCAGCATAAGACCAAACCAGGACCCCTGAACTTGGGTGACATTTAGGAGGCCTGATCAGCCTCTTGTGCCTCTGGCAGTGAAACCAGTATTTATCCCTAGTGCACAAATGGCCTTTGTGAGCCCATTCATGCATGAAGGGATACCCTCTCAGTCTAGGCCCTGCCCCAAATGATGTGACAGACTTTGATGATCCCCAATGGACCACCTCACTCTCTCTGGGGAGTGGATGGGGAGTGAGAGGGGCTTTGGTGGGGGGCATGGGAGGATGGGAGGGAGAGGAAACTGGGGTTGATATGGAAAATAAGATTGGTCCTAATTCAAATAAAAAACACAAAAAGGGCTGGAGAGATGGCTCAAAGGTTACGAGTACTAGATCCTCTTCCAGAGGTCCTGAGTTCAATTCCCAGCGACCACATGGTGGCTCACAACTGGTTATCTGTAGTGAGATCTGACACCCTCTTCTGGCCTGTAGGGATACATGCAGCTAGAACACTGTACACATAATAAATGAAATCTTTTTAAAAAATACAGAAAAAAGAAAGAAAAAAAAACATGTTCTGTACCTGGAAGGTGGTGGTGCATGCCTTTAATTCCAGCACCCAGGGAGGCAGAGGCAGGCAAATCTCTGTGAGTTTGAGGCCGGCCTAGCCTACAAAAGGAGTTCCAGGACAGTTAAAGCTACACAGATAAACTCTGTCTGGAAAAAAAACAAAAAAGAAAGTCCCTTAAAATCCATAGCTATGGATGTAGAGTACGTACTTAACTGATACACCGAACTGTGATAAAATCAGATTCTACCTTACTAGTCCCATGCTTAGCTTAAAATCTTTCAGTGTTTTGAGTCTCAATTTTCTCACCTACAGAAACTGACCTTCCTCACCTGACTGACAGGAAGTTATAAAGTGCTTAATATAATATCTAATATGTAGTGAACACCACCATCCACGTAACCCCAAACAGATAGGCACCATTAGTTCTAACTCAACATGCACAAGCTCAGAGTTTCAGTATTAGAACCATCAGGGACTCAGAGGTGATTAGTCCAGCCTATCCTTTTACAAATAGAGGAACTCAGACAGGATGTGGGAGAGAGATTTGCCGAAGTGAATAGGAGAGCTGAATATAACAATACAAATTTGGGCTTTTAGCTGGTCTCTTTGACACAGCACTGAGTAATCCAGCATTCAGATCCTTCTCTGAGAGCATGCTTTACTGAAAAGGAATGGAGGCATAAACAGTCAATGTGTACACACTCAGTTTCATAGGCAACTTCAATACAAATATTAACCAGCATGAACAGTGTACCATGAATCTGAATGCTGTATGCTGACTTGTATTCTTTCAGTTATGCACCCCTTGAGTGGTAAAGCTTGAGTGGCAGCTCAATCTGCTGGCAAAAGTGAACACAGAAACTGTCAAACCAAAAAGCTCTGTTCTTGTCTTTGATGGCACCTAATCAGAAAATAAAAATTCCTCCCCTCAAAACCTCTACATTTTGAGTTTTTGATGTGCCTGAAGAGAACTGTAGACTACACTACTTTCCATGAATGTGGTACCTTTCATGATTCTCAATGAAAGGAAAGTACTTGAAAAGCCATTATACCTGGACACATTTGTGTGCATGCCTATGAATATGTTTTGTCCATCAAAATTCTACTTTATTGCATTCCCTTTCAACCATTCTTACAACTCTGGATGCTGAATTACCACCTTTTTATTACAGCATAGCTATTCAAATTTCTTAATTCTTTACAGCCCACACTTATATTAATAATTTTTTCTTTATGTGTTTAAGGGGAAAAGAGAGGTGAAAAGAAAAAAAGGTGCATAGTTGAGGCCCTAACAAGGGAGGCTGGGACTCAACAGATGGGTTGCTATTTTACTGTGTCAATCATTTCTCCCGATCACAACCTCATTGGCACAATTTTATAGTAGCTTGGATTAGCCAGATGCCATTCCTAAGATGCAGCACGAACAGAAAGAATATAACCAATAGGAGGTAAGGAAGGGGCAATCATTCATAAACCGCTGCCACTGTATTAACAGAGCTTCATGGATCATTCTGTTACCAGGCAGAGGCAGTATTTCTATAGGTGAAATACTGGAGGGTATGAAAGGGTATAAAACAAGTCCTTGTATGAAACTTGGGAAATCATACCAACACAAGGTATAGGTAGGGGCTTAGAAGCAGAGAAAGAAAGTAGAAGGGAACAGATGTAAAACAAGTAGCCTCTGTCCCAATGGTTTCTGAGGACTTGGCCTAGGAGGTTATTAAAAGAAAGATTGTTTCCACTTTAAATATTTCCTAGGTTTGGTCTTGCTGATCATGATGTCAAAAAGACAGTGACTGCTATCATTTCCTGGAACTAGCACTCAATAAGGACTTATAGTGATGACAGTTTTCCATGAATGTAAGAGGAATGAATACAAACAGCAGAAATTCCCCGTGCTACCAACCTAGAGCTACCACTCACTCTAGCTATCAATCTATCAGCCTCACCACTCTATTCTGCATTCGCAGGTAGCTATTTTGCCTTAACTTTCACCAGGGCTGACAGTCAGTGTCCTTAGATATCTCATCAAATCCTAGAAATCATACTCAAAATACAGTTTGGAGGCTGGAAACCTGGCTTAGTGTTTAAGAGCACTTAGTGTTCTTCCAGAGGATCCCAAATACAGCTCCCAACACCCACACAGAGAAGTTCACAACTATCTGGGTGTCCAGCTCCAAGAGATCCATCTGATAACGTCTCCTGGACTCTGAGGGGATGCCCCACCACATGACATATACAAATACTACTAACTCATACACTAACATAAATAGTTACCTTGGCTTAAAACTATATATATAGTCAGATATTCTTTGGTATCCTCTGGGGAAACTAGTTACAAAATGCTTCATGGATACTAAATTCCATGTATATTCAAGTCCTTAGAAATTGTTTGACCCATACACATCCTACAGCATATTCAAAACCATGTCTGAGTTGCTTGTGTTTCCAAAGACAGTGTGCATGCTACATAATCTTTATACTGTATTGTTACAAACTGGTAATAAATATGTCTGTACATTTTCAGTACAGATGCAATTCTTTTTTTATCTTACATGAGTTGAATATACGGGTGTGGAAACATGGATAGAAAACCAATTGTAAATCAAGACCTAGTTAGAAAAGTCCGAGGAGGTAGTAAATATTTTACAATGATGACTGAAAAGTCCCCGGGAACTTCTCATTTGCCAGTTCTGCATCAGTCTTCAGACAGACTAAAAAATAGCTGAGGTAACTTGATAGCAAATCTATTTTAATAGGTTCCTCCCTTTATTTATTTGTTTGTTTGTTATTTTTTGCAAGATGGTATTCCTTTTTTCCTTTTTTAAATTTAAATTAGAAAAAATTCTCTTCCTCCCCTCCTCCCCTGCCCCCCCAGGCCCCTATCCCATCCCCTTTCTGCTCCACAGGGAGAGTGAGGCCTTCCACGAGGGATCTTCAAAGTCTGTCATATCATTTGGAGCAGGACCTAGACCCTCCCCCCATGAGTCTAGGCTGAGAGAGTATCTCTCTGCATAGAGTGGGTTCCCATAATCTTAACGGATGGAAAGAAGATTAAAGGATAGATACTTTTGAATGTCCTAAAAAACAGAAAATTTAATAAATCCACATTGACCAAAGTATAATAGCATAACAATCCAAATGTTTTATTATACTTAATAAACATTTTAATGCAAGTTGTAATTACAGCTGAAGGATTACCAATATTTGTAAATGTAAAATAAATTCAATTTTACATTTAGGTATACGTTACAATTTGTTGGTTACATTATTCACATTACCATTTTTATGACTAGCAAGGCATATTAAATATAAAATGGAAATTAACCAAAAGGAAGTGAAATATGAAAAAGTAATCAACATTATACATGGAAATTATATAAAAGAAAAAACGGTTAACATCCAATTAATGATTTGATAACATAATCCTAAAAATTCAGAAGTTTAACAGCTAAGAGTATAAAGAGTTCACATATACTTCAATATTACAAAAAAGGAAAAAAGAAAAGAATACTGAAGGAAGCAAATAAGTTTTCATACTTTGAATACTAGTTTGACCTTACAACGTTAACCTAACAACTGAACTTATCTAACCTAACCTACTTTTGCCTAACTGAGCCTATGGCCTTATATATTCCAACTATTACCTTTCTTTGCAAGACAATATAATGCATAGTTATTTTTAGGATTTTAAATCATGAATTCATTTTACTATTGTTCTATTGTTTTAGCAACCTATTTTTTCCAACTAGTTCCTAACTCAAGCACAAACTCGGCAGTCTTTAAAGCCGTATTGTGTTCACTGATTTTTACTATAACTTTTTTATTATTTATATGCCTAAGTATCACCAGACAGAAAAATAGACTAAGGAATTTCAAGAATTTTCTCATTGTTTTACAGTTCTTACCATTTCCTCATTGTTCAGTGATTTTTAATTTGACCACTTTCTGGCACAAGTTCAACAATATACAGAATTGGTTATTACTAAAGGTTTACTTTAAAATTCTGGCCATTTTTAATTGCCACATTTTCTACTTATTTTTAAACAGACTGGTGCACATTTAAGATAAATCTACTATATATTAGAAAAATGAAAATTGTCAAAATTTTTGTATTTGTTGTTTGAGTTATAGAAAGGATTCTTCATAAATTTTAGATGATGTTTTTATTCATTCCCTCTCTGACTTGGTGCCAGTTTATCAGTTTCCTAGCTCCATTTATTGTCTGAAAATTACAGCACTTGTTAAATGCTATAGAAGCACAAAAATGAACCCCCTAAATTTGGAGGTGCTTGATTTGTTTTGCAAGGGTTTGTTTTAGAAGTTGTTTATTTTACTCTAATCCTGTCCTGACCCAGACACAATTTTAGCAGATTTCTAATTGAATTGTGTTAAAAATGTTTATTAAAATGGCATAGTGTTTTTAAATTTACAGAACTTCAAAAATAGTGTTAGGAACTATTTTTGTTATTTTTTTCTTTTTCTAGTTTTGTGAGGTTTTTTTTTGTTTTGATAATTTTTTTGTTTCTTTTATTTTACACATGTTTTTTTCAATACGCTCCTGACCTGAGCACAAATTCGGTAGCTCCCTGGCTACATTGTGCTCCAAAATTTAACAGAAAAAAGCATATATTTCTAAGTTACAGCTATCTAACTGCACCTAAAAAGCTATTAGTACAAGCTATAAGATATCTTGCTGCTATTATTTTGTTCACTTCTCTTTTCAACTAGCTCCCGACCTGGGCACAAATACTACAGCACTGTGGCTGTATTGTGTCCCAACACTTAATATGAAGAATAAATATTTTCTACAAGCCAGTCTACACCCCCATAAAGGATAAATTGAAGTTTTAAGAAATAATGTAGTGTTGCTTAAAGATTTTTTTAATTGACACTGCAATTGTATGATTTTTCCATTTGGCACCTGCCAGGCACATATGTAGCAGCTTTCAAGATAAACAATTTCATAGGAAAATACTAGTACTGTTTTTAAAAGAAAGTTTTGAAAGCTGACCTGAATTGGGGTTATATATGTATAAATGTTGTCTATTTTTCAAAATTTCTTACCCATATTCATTTGAAAACACTTTGTTTTCAAAAATCTAGATAAAATTTGCCAATCCTTTTAAATTCAATACATTTCTCTTTCTCAATATGTCTTATTAACATTAGGTAAAAATAAGTTCTTTCAGTAAAATAAATTCCATGATAGTTTCAAAAAGGAAAAAATACCAGCATATATCAGTAGTAACATAAACATTTTTAAATAATCCCTGAATTTGTTCTATATTTATAGGCCCAACCCAATTACCAAAATCACTGGAATGTCTTCTTTTTAAGTTTTAAAGTAATCCCCATATCACTAAAAGTCAAAAAACACTAGTCATTTATATAATAAAATTTCAGCTCAACTAAAGAGTCTGATGATCTGTTTTGGTTGCTGTAATTAGACTTGACCTATAATTACTGAACAAAACAGATTATGTACAATAAGTGTTCAAACAAATGTATCTGACTGTATTTGGTACATTAATCTATTTTCGGCATCATTAGCTTCATTTTTTCTCTTATTTATAGCATAGAAAAAATCATAAGAGACACCAAAGCTGAACCTGAAAGACAATTCTCGTACCTAGAAGGTGGATTCCAGCATTAATTCACCACCATTATTTGTTGTTTGATCACTAGCTTCCTCTTGAATAGCTGGAAGGGAAGGCTTTGGTGTCAGAGGTGTCTCAGTCTTAAACAAGGACTCCATCCTTATATGTGTATTGATATAGAAGGATTTCTGAAAGGACTCAAGGGTGAAGTAATAGATAAAAGGATCAAAGCAACAATTCAGAGTTGCAAGGCACAAGGTAATTGGGTACATGATCTTTGCAAACCTTTCCAATAAGCAATTAGTAATGGCTTGGGAGCGAACCAAGGCATATAAAAAGAGAACAGAGTTGTACGGTACAAAGCATACCACAAAAACTGCCATATGCACTGTGATCATCTTCAATACTTTCTTCTTGTTGGTTCCAATTTGAGACAATGTTGCAGGCTTCCGGAGGGTTCTCAGTACCACAGAAGAGCAAGAAACATTCAATATCAAAGGAATGATAAACCCGACAACTTCAATGAATATGGTGATCTTGGACAGGTATGTCTTCCAGACACGTTTGGAAAAACCCTCAAAGCAAGTGGTGGTCGCATTGTTGACATTAGTAGTGGAGAACAAAGAAGCTGAAATACCACCACTGAGGACGAGGATCCAGACTCCAGCACATACAATGGCAGAATTCCTCCTGGTCCTAATGGTACGAGATCGGAAGGGATAGACAATGGCTAGGAAACGATCCACACTAATGCAGGTGAGGAAGAGCATGCTCCCGTAGATGTTGGTGAGGAATGCAGTCCCTGAGATCTTACAGAGGGTGTCACCAAAAGGCCAGTGGCGATTAAAGTTGTAAAATATTTTGAAAGGTAGGGTACAGACAAAAAGCAAATCAGAGAGGGCCAAATTGGTGATGAAAATAGCAGTCTCACTTCTCATTTTCATGCGGAAGCAGAAGACAAACAGAGAGGCACTGTTGGTTATTAGACCCAGGATGAACACAACACTGTAGACAGCACCATTCAGATTATACTTGAAGGAATCATCAACAATGCAAGTATTATTGGCAGTTGCATTGCCCAACCTGGGTCTGAGACTTGAATTTAAATCTTGGAATTGGAAGTCAATAAATCTTCTGTCACCCATGGATTTTTCCTCAGAAAGCCTGCTAGTTGCAGGGGTTCACCACTGTGAGATTAAGGACCAGTAGAGAATGCTTTCTTCCTATAGGAAACAAGATAGAATGAGTCACCAAATGTGCCTTCCCTCCAAGATTTCTGTGGAATAAAATATATTCTGCTCATACAGGCAAGAAAGTATACACATACTATTAGACTTGGCAAGTACATTTTGGTTACATACCACAGGTGAATAGTACTACAAAGGACATATTGCAGAAATGAGAGAGATCACACAATACAATAAACATAGCATCGCAATGAACATGAATAAGTTGTATGTTTCTCAAGAGAAAAAATTAATCAAAGAATCCCTGATAGCTAAGATGCCTCTAATGTGAAATTTGTAGGCCTATTCTCAACTTTCAAAAATACATGTTTTATTTGATTCTTATAGAAACATCATAAGGTAATCACAGGTAATTATCATTTCATAAAAGTAGAACCCACACTTACAAATGTCAAAATTGGAAGAGAATGTGAATAATGTATTGAAAACCATAAGTCACATCTTCGATTTATTCCTAAACCATAAACTTTTCAAGTCACTCAAATTTGCACTTTTTACTCTCCAATATTACTAAAATACTTTGTCTGATTATAAACTCTTTTGTATAAGACATCTGTAGATGTGAGGCCTCCAGTGCATGCTCCAAAAAGTTATCAATAAACTATTAAAGCAATTTATTGGCTCTCCTTTTGATTCTAAAGCAGAAGCTCAGAAGACATATATCAGTTCATTAAATCTTCTAGCTAAGTTTTTTCACTGCTCTACCAACACAAAATGAACTCCATGTTTGTTAAGAGAGAAAAAGATTATGAAGTTTGGTGGTTGGGGTGGGAGTTGGGGAGGAATTGGGGCAGGAAAATATGATCAAAATACAATGTATGGAAAAATTTCAAGATTAAAATAAATAAGCTTTTTTCCCACTATGTCATATCACATGGCTATTCTGAAGAGATTAAAATATCAAACTCATCATTTCCTTCCTGCACTACACAATTCTCTTTCCATCTATACCCTAAACCTAGCACGTATATGTTCCTTTTCTTTGCCCACTGCATATCCTGTCAGCTATATCCGTGCATTCATCTGCTAAAATGACCCTGGTCAACATCAACTTTTCTCATCAAACACAAATGACAGTTGGGTGTGGTGGATCATGCCTATATCCCCAGGCACTTGGAGAGACCTAGGCAGGAGAATTTCTGTAAGTTTCAGGTCAGCCTGGACTACAGAGTGAATTCAAAGTCAGCTTAGACTACATATTCTGACTCTGTCCCAACATCAGATCCTGTCTCAAAAATTCCAAATGGGATATGAAACTTGAGGACCACCAGACCAGCCATCCTATACCTCATTGTACAAAACCTGACTCAGTCATTTAGAGGCTTTCTTACCAATACAGTTTTTATTCATGATAGCAATTAACTCAATTGTCTGTTTAAATACTTAGGCCAACAGGGCTTGAAGATACATGTGGAAATTCTACCAACTTTCTCTTAGGTTAATAGCTATCACTGGTTAGTCTGTCTTTCAAATGTGTCCCATAATACACTGTGGATAAGTAACTGTTGAATGATTCTTTTGAGTGGGGATATGAAATGAAAAGTGGCCTTTGTTTCCTCACATAGCCAGTAATGGGTTTTCACATGATTATGTTGTAAAATACAAACGGCTGTTTTATGGAGTGATTTCCTTTTCACTCTTCCCTTCAAGACACCAAGGAAACAAGTATGTCTTAAGGAAGGGAATAGAGGAGAAATCTGATAGAAATACAGAGGACTGAAGTCACCTCAAGGAGTGTCTGACTTGAGTAAAAAATACTTAGCTTGAGAAATAGTCACCCCTGTACTACCTACCCAAAGGGAGCTATGGCTTCCATAATATGGGGTAAAAGACGCAGAGTTATCATTTTAATAGTGTCCCAGCTACAATAGAAACTTGCTATCCTGAGTTGTCATTCACTAAGTCTTTATGGAATCATTCATCTAAAATCATACTCCTTCTTGGCCATTTCATCACACAGGTCTATTTCAACTTTCCCCCCAAGCAACCTTGATGTACAAAAGCAAAGTGTAGTGGGGCCTTGACCAAGGGAAGTCCAACAAATAAAAATAGGCAGGGGAGTCAACGAGGAGATGAAAAATAAAGTATCAGAGAAAGACAAACAGAGGAATGGAAATAAAGAGGGGAAGAGGAGGATGTAAGGAAAATGGGGCTTTTCCAGGCCTTCTACTTTGTATTAAGAATCCTGAAAGAGATTCCTCTAATCCCCTCCTCCCTACTTTATCTTATCCCTTCCATGTTTCCTAGATGGAAGAATAATTTTCAATTGCTGTATTTAAGAACACTGAAGACGATCAGCTGACACAGAAAGAACCTGAAAACTCCCTGTCGACGGTGCTCATAGCTACAGACACAAGTTTTTGTTGTCCCTGTTTTTTATTTACACCCATATTTCTCCAATGCAGTAGTAGAAGAAAAATGTGAATGCCAAACTTCTCAGTAAGAACACTATTTACATTTTTAAAAGTTCATTGCTGGAAGAAACCAAGAAGACAGTGAAAGAAATAATTTCTTATTAATGTAGTCATATATGTTTAAGAATGTGAGGCTATAAAATACATTAAAACCAGACTTCATTCATAATCTCTTGCATCTATCTACCTTATACAATAAACACTTCCAGCAAGTTTATCTTACTTGGTAAAGGTATTTCGCATTAGGCTTCTCACATCTTCCTAGAGTCCCTCCAGTTTCACGTCCTGGTTATACCTATGCCTGGAGCACCAGTAGCTCCCTGGCTATGTCTTATTTTCTACTTTCTGAATAGCTGAGTTTTGTTTCCTACTTTTACATTCAGTTTTTCATGAATACAATCATTTTATTTTATTTCTTAATTCACATTATTCTAAATTTAAAAATCATAAATAATAACTGATTTTTATTTATGGAATGCAATGTGGTTTATAAATGAATCAATGCGTATTTATATTGCTGCACTATAGGGTGATTAACTCAAGTTGATTTATACATCCATCACTGTACTTCAGTTTTATATCCCCCCAGAACATACACACTACACCTACAGCAGGCAGTCTGTAAACACATGACACTTCGACTCTGTTGCTTTGGGTAATCAAATCCTGTGGGAGAGAAAGGACCACAGACAAGAAAGCAGTACAGTCTCCCTCCTAAAGAGAGGGCATGGGAAAACTGACACTATGGCCCTATTCATAGCTCTCCCTTACTTGAACACACACCACCTTTGCTGTCTAGCAGGGAGGGTGTGGCACTGGAAGCAGAAAGCTCTATTTCTGACTCAGACACTAGTTTACTCTGTAACGTGGCTATACTGTTTTCTCTTTCCTGTATAAACATTGCCACTGAGCCTCGCAGCTAAAGCTAGGAAGAGTCAACAGTGCTATGAGTAGTTTGATGAACTTGCCAGTTTCCAGCACTACCACTAAAGAACCTTATAGAAGTCTGTTCCTCTCAATCATGACTACAAATCTCTCTATTTATTGGCATCTTTGCTTTGTATTAGAAATGTATCCTTCTGCCAGATAGTAGATGTGCACTCCCAGCACTTGGAAGGCAGAGACAGGTGCATCTCTCTGAGTTCAAGGCCAGTCTGGGCTACAGAGAAAGTTCCAGGACAGGTTCCAAAGCTACACCGAGAAACCCTGTCTCAGAAAAATGTATCATTCTGCTAATTCCTTGCACTTCAAAAATATCCCATTTGGGTTTGAAATCTTGACTGCACAATTTACTCATAACAGAGAAATCCTGGAAGGTGGCCCCATTGAATATTACACATAGAACTCCAGTTTCTAAAACTGAGAACAGTATTTGCCTCAAGATGACTGTGACGAAGAATAAGAAATATTCAAGAAACAGGCCTGTTTCCTTTCCTTAATGTCTGATATACTGTCCACTAAATGTACAGGTTGACACTACTCGAGTGTTCAAGGAGATAGACAAAGAAAAATCGTCTACATAGTCAGTGATACTACTATAAGCAGCATCATACTATTGTCTTATGAAGATGCTTGTAGCCAATTATTCCAATGTAATTGACTAAAAGTGGGATTAGTGTTGGTATACATATTTTCATTGATAGTGGTCAGAGCAGAGGTCAGCTGGATATTGATTAAGAAGAAATTGAAAGGGGTGACAAGATGGCTTAGCAGATGAAGGCACTTACCATCAACCTTGACAACCTGAGTTCAATACCTGGTGCCCTATAGGGTAGAAGGAAGTAGTCCTGACTTCCACATTCACTGCGGTATTCACACACCCACACACACACGCACACACACACACACGCAAACAGAATAAAATGTAAAAATTAAGAAAAAAGAAATCTGAGGATAAGGTCAACAGGAAGAAGTATAAGAGAAGGTAATGGGAGTGAACATGATCAAAATGTTATATATATTCATGAAAATGTCACAGAGAAATTGTTTTGTACAATAAATAAATAATAAAATATTTTATAAAATAAAAAACAGAAAATATGTCCATCAATGGTTTTTTAACTTTTTGACCACCTGAGCCCATTCAGAGAGTTCATAATAATATCTACATTTTTCCTTTTTGTAGATTTTTTTGATGCCTGATAATAATGGCATATCCCATGATTGGAATTTGGGGGATGACTAGAGGAAAGAAAGTCACTTTTCTGGTCCCTCTAGGAATTAGTAAATATATAGATTACTTCATAGCCTGCTAAAATTTTAGAAATTCTGCTAAAACAAACTTATAAATTCTGACATAATGCGAATACTCTAGAAAGCCTGACATACTTTGTTCCCAGCCAAACACAGTCCAGAATTCATTAAATTAAGGCCCATAAGGCAGAGTGTGCTCACATTGACTTCCTTTGCTCCATTTTAATGAGGGTAGTCCAAGTTCAAGTGCTTATGATCCCTACAACATTTGCTTTTTTTCTGCTCTGGTCAAGTTTCTGAAATAGAGTAAGCTGAAGCCTATTGTATACTTGACTATACACATGTAGTAGTGAATCAAAGTTCAAAATGCACAAATATAAAAATAGAATTCAAGCTGGGTGGTGGTGGCACTTGCCTTTAATCCCAGTACTCAGGAGGCAGACACAGGAGGATCTCTGTGAGTTTGAGGCCAACCTGGTATACAGAACGAGTTCCAGGATATCCTCCAAAACTACAGAGAAGCCCTGTCTCAAAAAAATTAGAATTCAAGACCATTCCTTTGGTGCAATAGGAACTACATCCAGACTTTTGCTCCTCAAACAAGTAGTTATTAACAGATAAAAGTCCTGATAGCAACAGTGTAGGCCAAGTCACAGGCATAGGTCACACCTGGTTCCATTGATTTTCCTTTGCACTGAATCTGTATCAATCTTATATTTTTTAATACAAATGATATTTCTTTTTAAAAGGCTTATCAATATATGACCTCATTTTCACTAAGATTTTTAAGCTATTCTGTACCACTAGCCAACTAATGTGAAGACATCAAGAAATGGCAGAATTTGATCCAATCTGATCAGAACTGGCCTTCAGTGACTAAATTCAACATATTTGTTTTTCACCAAAAGAACTAATATATCCTACTAACCCTTCACCTGATGGCACAGGCCAATCCTTAGAGAATTTTGTGGTCTAGTGCTCAATATGATGAGACCAAAGATTGCATCAGAACAACTAATGCAGAATTTTCCCTAGTACCTAGTTAACAGAGTAAGAAGACTACAGAGAAATTGCACAATCTAATATGATGAAATTGTCTAGAGTCTTAAGCTTGGCATTTCATCTCAGTAGAAGCCGCAGACATTTACAGAATTCTATGAGGTGTTCCTAAAAGATTTCATTTCCAGATTCTGCAGGACTCATGAATGCCAGCAGGACTCAGCTTTATCCCTGTATCCAAACACACAAATCAATTGGCTTGAAAATAAATTAACTTGCTATCCTTGGATACTAGAAATGATCATATGAATAAAAACATGCCTCACATCTATCTATGCACCTTTCTATCTATCGCATCTATTATCTCTCTATCATATATCTACTATCTATCATCTATACGTTAATGACAAAGAGGTATTGAGTGAAAGAATCAACATTCATCTTTCAACAAAACTGCCTGGATTATGATAAGTACCAACAACTCCACTACTTCCTCTATTTATTATAGAACTTTGAATCACATGTTCTGTAATAATATAGAAGCACTGCTAACAAAAAATAGAAGAATAAAGTGGAAAAGGTGAAATCTGAGCAAGGGTACTCACATTAGTCCAAACCAAATTCTGGCACCAAATTTATCTGCAACGTGGATAATCAATGAAATTATTGAAGTCAGGCGTTCAAAGATTTCCTTAATTGAGTGCTCTGGAATAGAATGTCACAATACTTTTCCATAAAGAAAGTTTCTCAATAAACTGTAGAGCAAGATTATATAAAGTAGAAGAAATAAGTACATAATATAAACCAGAGTATATAAGAAGCAACTTATTTCCAGATGATATTAAATATCTGTGATTTCATTATAACACAACTGAAATTAGCAGTTATTCTCCAAACCCATCCCTGCTACAGATATATCTTATTAGTGGTATTGACTGAAGCTAAAAATTCACAGGAGTAACTTTAAATTGTTTAAAGATAAATAGTGACAAAAAGCATAAAATATTCACATTCCTATACATTTAAAAATAAATGAACAAAGATTTCTTTGGTGCCCTAAAGTTCCATTGGTATCTTTTTTGTTGTCTTTCTTCTTTTCCTTTCTTGTCCTCTGGCAACAACTGTTATGATTGGACAAAAGATAAAGGAAGGAAAACTGGGACAACAGGTGAGCACTCCATTGCTTTGTCTCTAGCCTATGAACCCCACTAAATTTCCTTACCTACTGAACTGTATGAGAAAGGCTTCCACTGCTAGGTATTTGCATACTTACTAAAACTCATCACATCTTGATGAAGAATCCTAAACATACCTAACATGACATATACGTACATTGAAAATCACAACTATACATAACATGCTCATATAAAACAAGATAGACGCCATGCTGGAATTCTTACAAGTGGCACCTACATTTAGATCCTGTTCATTGTAGTACTTATAGAACATAATTGTCTGCTAATCCAGACTGATACTATTCTTATAGTCAACCCTCTTTTGAAAAAACAGACTGCACAGCAACTCTCTTGAAATGATTTTTCTTCATATAAAACAGTAAGACTGTTGGGCAACTTAAAATACACAGAGATCACCTTATTACTAAAGAGAAATGATTTTCATTGTCCTCCAGAGAGCACTATTCCTGAAATGAAATCAATATAATTTTATTGGTTTGCCTTAAAAGAAAACAGAGATGTTAGCATTTCTTTTATGTGCCTTTCTTAAAGATGCAAACTATACATAAGATTTTTTATTTGGAATACAAGAAAATTAGGAGGTTAAATACCCAGAGTTTTCTTAATGCTATTGATTCAACATCCCCATCACAAGCGAACTGTGGGGTAGTAAACAGAAGTTATTTTCTGGGCCTCAGTTTCTCTTCACTTTCCATATTTGGCACTGACTGAAAGAAGTCTTCAACTGGTGCCATGGCAGTGCCTGCACTGGCTGTTCCTGTCTGTCAATTATTTTCACCTGCTTCTGCTTGTCATGACAAAACACACACACACACACACACACACACACACACACAAAACTAAAAGCCTGTAATAAGAGTCATTAATTTGTATTAGTCCTAATGAAATAATTGTTAAGCTTATTTGCATGTCAGAAACACATAGTATTAATTACTGTCAGAAACTTAGAATTTCAAAGCAAGATGACATCTACATCCTAAAGCCTTCCTTATGCCCTCATCTTCCTGATCCTCAGTACTGCCTATTCAACAGACCTATTACCTTTAATTGTGGAGGTCTCAACTCTTTAGTCCTCCTACCTGTTCACCTTGCCCCTCAAAATATGGGGTAAACAGCCTACCCCAGAGCATCAATAGACTCTACAGAATCAATAGACTGCTTATGCACTGTTCTTATCATTCTTTATCCACTAAAATCTGAGACTGGAATCCCAGTGTTGAGTGGCCTTCCATGAAGTTTCCAATTTTCAGTACCAGCACTGACAATTACAGGTTTTTCTCTTCCTCCAAAAGACCAAGAACAGATAGTGTATGATGACAGAGAATAAAAGGCAGTGACCAAATCACAGCAAGGGCAGCAAACCTCAGTGCATTCTCTCTCACAAAATGAACTGAATAGATCAAACTTTGTCTTTGCCTGGCCCGAGTGTTGCATCTTCCCAGTCTTCTCTTTAACTTAAAGAATACACATTCTGAAAGGCTGCCCTGACTCTTCCAAAAGGGCTTTCATTCACATCTCTGATTGGCAGCAGGAGGTACTTTAGAATGTAAAAGCCATGAGGCTTATCAGCTGAACTCATGGTTTGCAAGAATGCAAATTCTCATTTGCAACAAGGCAAAGCGATTTAGAAACTATTTTGATGGGGGAAAGTTGTTGGAATTTTATTCTGAAAAATAAACATGTGGCAAAGCCTGTGTATAATTTCGATTTTAAGTTATTATTAAGGTTTTATGTTATTTGATGAACAAGAAAGATGGCATAATTTGGCAAAGCAACAAAATGAATAACACCAAGTTTTGACATACATAAGTTTTCGATTTCTCTGGTCTTTTCCCACACAGAAATCATAATTATATTGCTGTATTCCTCCCAAAACAGAAATTATCTAACACACATTACTACTTAATTCAACAAGTCTTTTCACTAAAAATATTTAAAATATTCAGAATATGCCAGAAAAGAATTCTAAAGATGTCACATTGTGTTGCATTTATGGCAAATACCAATTAATTTCACATATAATAGAAAATTCTATTTATGCTAGAATTAAGTTTTCATTCAAACATGATTCTTCGTTTATGGACAAGTTCATGAATTATTCAATATAGCAAATGTCACATTCTCCATAAATCAATTAAGCATCAAAGGCATGTAGTGTATAGTTTTACTAGAAGAGACCCCACCATAATAAAAGCCACGTTAGCTCACAATCTTTTGTAAACCAAAGAAATATAACGCTAACCAAAAGACTTTCTAACTTGTTCTACCCTGTGATTTTCAATCAGCTCTTTAGGACTGTGTTTACATGAAACAGCCTGAAAATCCTGTCTCTCTTCCACTGAAACAATATCACTGCCAAAACAATAGAAATTCTTTTTTACCATTCAACACGATGATCCTTGTTCAAAACTTGAGAGCTGAAGTCTAACTTCTTTTCCCAAACACTCAAAGCATCAGTGTTTCGATTGAAGTTTGTTACACCATCCCCCACCCCCAAACGCCAAAATCAAATCTTTCTCAAAGAGACTTACCCCAAAAAAGAGTGTGCTAGATGAGAGAATGTGCTCATGCCTGTAGATAGTTAGCTAATAAACATGTAAACGGGCAACTCGCACTTTGGAAGTGCATATTTTTATCCATTAAAAAAAAAAAGAAAAGAAAACAGGGAAAGGTTAGCCCAGCCCAAAGGAGCAGACTCTGGGCTGCCGCAGCTCCTTACTGCAAACGGCTCATTCTGAAAATGTGAGCTTATTTACATTTATCTCTTTCCCTTTGTTAAGAACTAGCCCTCTTGAATGCTGTTGCCCGCATGCCTTTAACAAACAGGACACAAGAAAAGGCCCAAAGTCCTTGCTGGAGCCGAGGGCCGCCGGGGAACTCTTGGGGGTCTCAATAGGAAATGCTTTTCATTGGATAAGGAGGCATTATTAGGAGCCGTGATCCCGCCCAATCCCCTGTGCTTCATAGTTCCCTTAGTCACCATTCGCTGGACTGAAGAAGTTTTTCCTTAAAGAGCATTGCCCAGGAAAAGCAGTTTCACAGTCAAGAATTAGTGGCTTAAGTGCCACTTGACAATATGAAAAGTGTCTTTCCTGACCAATTAATTCACAGAGAAAGCTTGTGTGCATGTCTTTGCTGAAGGACCGCTACCCTCTTACAATTCTAATGAGGAGGAGGAGGAGACAAAACTCCAAACTGGGAGGAGCAGCCCATGTTTGCTCCTATTTGTTTAAATCAAAATCACAACAATATTAGCAAGAATTAAGAAGATAGCAGGGGGAAAGTAAATGGAAAGGGGAAATGAATAGTAATCTCACTATGCATAAATAAGTTTCTGTCACTCTCCAAAACAAAATTCAACTCCATACCATAGGTATTTACTGAAGGCAGAAAATGCCCTCAGACTGTCCTGTTGGAGAGGCACTGGGGACCCAGAACTGCAACACTTGCCTTTCATGCTTCAGGGAGTGTTCTATAGCAAGAAAAGAACCATTTCTCTATTTAAAAAAAAACTGCCTGGCAAGAAGTCTAATTACTTTGAAATTCCCAAATTATTAAAAGGGAAATAAATAGCACAGATGCAATCTGTTCACTGGGAGCAGTTATCTTCGATTGTACCCCACAATTCTAGATGATCTCTGTACCTTATAGGTGGACTGGCTTGGTCAACCACACAACTTCTCCTGGCCCCCCAGTTTTCTTTCTTTCCATTCCTCTCCCTGATCCGAGTTTGTTGTGGAAACATCCTTTTGTATCCCTTTCTCTACTACCAACACCCTCACCATCCTTTTTTCTCTACCTCCACACACTGCCAACATCACCACCAACAGCAACGCCCTACCCTTTCTTAGGAATGAAACTCCTTGGCAGGCATAAGTTGCTTCCTATTTCTGGGCAGAGTCATGCCTCTAGAGGAATGGGGGAACCTGTCTGCTTTATAACTTCAATCCACATAGTTAAGCTAAATCTCAAATGAAATATGTCCCAAGCTTGTTCATCCTCACTTTCTCTTCAGACCTGTGTTGGGGCTCCCCTTACTAAGCACCTAGGCCTGTAACAATTGGTTGTGTAGCTGACACTAGCCTTACTGCTTGTAACTAACTCTCAAAATCCCTTTTATATAGCTTCCCCTCCCACAGCCTTGCTTTCTGTTGCTCTCTGCCTAGCTCAGGTTAGTTCATTTCTATCTCTTGCTGGCCTTGACTAGGGCTTCACAAGTTATCTTCTTGTTTACTCTGGACGTAGACCACCCTTTGGTAGGCTCATCAGTTGAAAAAAATCAGTCTCCTAGAAAACTTCACACTCTAGCTGAAGGGGAAAAAACATGCAAAGTAGTGAGACACCAAAGAGATTTAAAAAAACTCTTAGGGGGAGGGTGAGTTCTGAGGTAGGTCAGAGAGGGAAAACAAAAATCCAGAGTTAGGGCCAAAGAGCTTCCCAGATAATGTGAGCTTTGAATAGGATCTTATGGATGACCAGAGCTTAAGTACACAAAAACAAAAAGGGATAACTTTCCAAGCTGTTTGTGAGAAATGATCAAATTCAGAAAATGAGTAATGACAGGAGATAAGGAGACTAGCTGTGAAGAGAAAAAGAGAGATAAGGAGAAGAGCCACTTGGGAAATGTTTTATTGTAGCACTCCGTGCAATAGTGATTTAAGTAAGCCTTCTACAGTGATGCTCACTGTCTCTCAGGAAGATCAGCTCACTACCATTCCTCTCCTGGTATAAATATTCCTCAGTCTTTTCATCTGGTGGGATGCAAGCATCATTCTGATTAATCTCCCAAATGACTTCTTAGAAGGTCTTCAATATATGACATGTTCTCAGAGTATCACTCTCCGACCAAACTTTGGTTTCAGACACTCACTTGTACCTCCTAGAATGATTTCTAATTTCTCTCACCATGGACATTTCCAATTCTTATTCCCTTCGATTGGGATACATTCCTCATCCATAATACTTCCTTCAAAACTTGAATTCCCTTTCCGATACTTTCCCAATAATCATGCTTTCATTTCCCTAGTTCAGGCCAAATATTCAATTTTATGCCTGATAGTATGACAGATGTTTGCACTCTATCACAGACATAAGGTCCTATACTCTATGTGATTTATTTGCATAACACTTGGATATATTGCCGATCTCTCCTAATTTAAATTCCAAAGTTCCGTATGTGCTTATTTGCAAATTAACATTCACAGAATTCCCTTTTCCTGACCCTTCTCTTGATTTTTTTTTAAAAAAAAACTTTCCAGTTAAAATCCCAGGTGATTTCATACATTTTCAGACTAATCCACATCAAGGTGTTGTCTTAGGCCAAACAGCACATACAAATAAAGAAAAAAAAAACTCATATTGACAAGAACCTCTACCATCCCCCTTACATATTGCAAACTCTGTAGTCTTGCTTGCTTTGGTATTTGAAAGACAGGAGGGGGAAATGGGAGCTTTTTCAGGATGTTCTCCAAACAACTCCAGTTTACAGCCACATAACTTAATCCAAAATATCCTTTAAAACAGGCCTTCATTGAGTTGCTGATGCCTGTGCCACAGGGGTGGAGAACCAATATGCAACTGAAAAAGTGCTTTCCAAAATGGTCTGGGGAAGTACATGGTTCTCTTTTTATCTGTTTGGAAGAAAAAAATGTAACTGGGAATTTAAATATTTAAATCAAAACATCTAGATGCTTAGGGCCTTCACACTCCAAACTGAAATCCATTTTTCTTTCGGCCAACAATATCAAAGGACTGGGTGAATTCACCCCAAGTGTCAATAGCCCAATACTAGGCTAGTTTCCCTAGAAACAGTACAAATGGAACCGAAGGATTTTAACTGTGATTATGAATTAAAGTTTTGGTAACTTTTAAAATCTGTAAAGAAACATAGTGCCTATGCAAATCCTAAGCAGTCTTCTAGGGAAAGGAAGCCAATTAATTACTAACTTTGCATTAATTAGCTTCACAACTTTTCACAAATACCTTGAAACCTTTCAGAAAACAAAGACTCCTATAGCCATTCTTCTTTTGTATATAGTCTTCCTTTGTTTCAATTGGAGGAAGGGATCAAGAGGTCAGATTCCCAACCAGTTCATTTAGGACACTGCATCTCTGAAAGAACAGGAAAGGGGTTTTCAAACACAGTCTCTGGAAGTTTTTTTTTTAATCTCATCCTTCCTACTAAGTCACCTTCATCTCTTAACTGTGTCTCAAACAGATGCGCTTTTATTCTTCATAACTGAGTATCATCAATAAGTTTCCATTGCTTAAAAGCAAGGTTGGTAAATATAGTAAATGAGCTTCTGAAACAACTCAAGCAAAGAGCCTGGCAGCCTTGAATGTTTGGTACAGTCTAGAAATATTGCAAGGTAATAGTAATCATGATGATGAAAAGAGAAAACATTTCCAGGCAGTATTTTAAGAATGCTATCCATATCTGTTCCCTAATATACACAACCCTCTATGGTGTAAGTACTATTCTTCCTATTTTATGCCTGGGAAAATAAGGTGCAGAGAGGTCAGGTGACTTTCCGAGACTCACACAGCTACTAAGTTTTCTTTGAACTCTGATAATTTTTACCTAATCATCATAATCACATTTTCCTTGGATAAAGCCTTCAGATCTCTGCTCGCATGATCTTGTTCAGAAACAAATATCAGGAATATACCCTTTGTAATGCAAACTGCTCACTAGAAATTGAGAAATCGCAATAACAGAATGTGTAGCTGAAGAACTTTTCAGTGGTGTTAAAAATAAAAATAAGACCCTTCAGGATCTGGTATGAGAGCTGAAGTCCCTAACTGACTTCTCTTTAAACCCAAATATATGTTTTTTTTTTATTTTTATTGATTAAATTTCTTTTTCATCATTTTACACATGTAGATAATACATATTAACAATCTCACCACCCACTTTCTCTCTCCTCCCTACTCCTCTATCTAGCTTCTTTACGAAATCCTTGCACACATTCATGTCTATTTGTTTGGTTTTGAAGCACACTGACTTTAATCAGAGCCATCTGAGTAACTATGAGTTTGGAGGTGTCTGTTGCATCCTGGTGGGCTCAGCAGTGGGTACACAAATAATAACAATAATTATACTTCTCGTATAAACTACCAACAAGCATCAGTTCAATATTAAGGTGCTGGGAGTACTGTGAGCCTCTCCTCTCTCCATGATTAATTGTTGACAGGGACTGACTTTTGTGTACCAATGAATGTAACTGCAGTTGTTGTGAATTCATAATTGTAGTGGTTGTGTTGAGCCTAGAGGAAGGCAATTCGCAGCCCTTCACCCTATCTTCTGGCTCCTGCACACTTCCTACCTCTTCTGCAAAGGTCTCTGAGACCTAGAGAGGGAGATTTAAATTTCTTATTTACAGCTAAAACATCAACAGTTATTTATTCTCAGCATCTTGGGCAGCCATGAGTCACAGCATTCACTGCCGTCCAATATAGAGAGGGGCTTCTCTGATTAAAGCTGAAAGTAGCATTTGCCTATGGTTATAAACATACATATATATAGATGGCAGTTTGATGCTATTTCAATTTAGTCAAATAATGGTAATAAGATCCTCAGACATGACTTGCTAACCAGACTTACACTAAATGGCACGGGTTCTTTTCCACGGAGCAGGCCTCAAATCTAATCAGAAAGCAGTTGGGCACCCCTACAACATTTGAACCTCTCTCACACAGATGGGCACATCTCCTTTTAAAGTAACTCTTTATTAAATAAAAAACAATCTTATTTTACATACCAATCCCAGTTCCCTTTCCCTCTTGCCCTCCCACTCCCCCCCACCATCGCCCCATCCCACCCCTCATCCACTCAGAGAGGGTGAGTACTCCCATGGGGAATAATAAAAGTCTTGTCACATCATTTTGGGTAGAACC